GCGGCCTCAGTTTGTCGTGGTGCAGCGTGCAGGGCAGGCGTGCGTGTGTGCGTGCGCGGTAGGCGTGTGTGAGACGAGAGCGTGCGGCGGACGTCCCAACGAGAGCGCCAACATGAGGAGAAAGGACAAGTGACAGTGACTGTGTGGCGCGTGTTGATGCCGTGCCGTACCTGTTGAGGACTGGACTGTCAGTGTAGTGCAGTGCAAGTGTCGTGTGTTGTGCGAGTGCGTGTGTGTGTGTGTGCCATGTGCGTCGGGCAGTGACCAGTGTCCACGCTGCATCCCCTGTCACCCCTCGGACCCATTGCATCAGAGCCGATAACGGATTTATTGAAGTGAGTATCCGGGGGTACCTGGAGGTACCTGCGTGCTGGCCGGCAGTGCGCGCATGATCGGTTGTCATCGCGGCAGGTGCCGAGCGGAAGGCGCGCCAAAGTTAAACGAGGGAAAGTACCATACTGCGATATCGTTACAAAAAACTAAAAACGCAGTGGTCATGACAATGCCGTACAATGCCTCGGGCAATTGGCAATAAGACCGAGCGAAGTTTTGAAACAACCAGAAGCAACGCAAGTCACAATTCAAACGTCTTATGTGTAAATTGTGTTTATCATAGCACTCACACTATTCGTTGGGAAGTAACAGCGGATATTTTTAAAGTCTGGCTTGCTCCAGTTCGCTATGAACAAGCAGTCGTGATAACCCTCTTTGAATTTGAAGTTATACATAGACCTATTGGAAGCACAGCAGGCTGCAGTGGAAAATATCATCGGCAAAATAATGTCTACTCATACCTCTAATTCGCAGTCCACCCGGACTTAAACCCATAACTTTTCAATAATAACTGCAGCATCCTAATGTCTTCCTGGAGACGAGCGATCTTCCTCAAAGAAGCTCGGAATAAAGCCCAAATGAACACGTCTTGCACGTGCGCCTGGGCGGGGCCGGCAGCAGTCACGTCATCATCAAAGGCAGTCGCCGGCACCCACCTTTCGGCACAAAAACGCGTGAAATTTGTGCGCCTCGGCCATGCGAGGGCTCCCGGCTGTCTGCGAGAGGCCAAGGCCTGGAGGCCAAGGCCAGGCCGGCGCGCCCCGCCCCGCACCGGGTTTAATTTATGATCAATGTCACACGGGAGTCTCGAGTGGCTCCTTGTAGTCTCGTGCGGCCGTGGGGCTGCTGAATAGTCTAGGGGCGTGGCCGGGCGGCCCGGGGCTGCAGGAGGACTCGGGCGGCACGCAGCAGCGACTCCTGCGCTCCGGTGTGCTGAGCGAGCGCTGCGCTGCGATACCGGGCGTCCTGGGGCGAGCCAACAAAGCGCGCGGCCTCCCCGTCGTCCGTGCAGCATCTCGTGGGAAAGCCGGCGACGGAGACAGTCCGCGCACAGAGAGAGACTTTTGTGTGTGAGAGAGACATTTTACTAACGAGACCACTGCGACAAACAGAGTTGTTGTCTCCCGCTGTCCCGCTCGCCGTGTGTTCCCGCACAGGTTACTTGCTGCCACACTGGCATGACCGCGATCAAACTCTTGCCATTGTAACTATTAATTGTAGTTTGAATGTCAGTCACGCGAGTATATTGCTCGCCTTGCCGCGCCCGCGCGCTGAGCGCCGCGGAGATGACTTACTTCCACTCCGGCACGGATTATAAATATTGTAAGGCCACGTTTGAGGAAGCGCCCGACTCATCTCTGATGGACCGGCTGCTGCTGATGCCGGGAACAAAACTGAGGCTGCCGCCGCTGCAGCAGCATTGTGAGGCGCCAGGCAGACAACGCGCGCGGTGGCAAGCGCAGAAGGGAGAGGCATTTTCAGGCGGATGCTGGGGACAAAGACACAAAATCTACTGGGCTGATTGGGGAGGGTGCGGAGGAGAAGGAGGAGGAGAGGAAGATGAGGTGAAGGAGGAGGTGAAGGAGGAGGCGGGGGCGGAGGAGGAGGGTGTTTGGGAATCATAAGGGGAGCAGCGGGGGCGCAAGTTTTGCAGCAGGCAGAGCCGGTAAAGGACAGACGACGTCGACGACGACTTCAAAGCGACGCGCCGATATGGTATTTCGCACAGCCGCGTGCACGCAGAAAGAGTTCGCCGTGTTTATATTTCCTGCGACTCGCGCGCGCAAAACAAAACATGAATAAAAATTTACGCGAGCGGCGTTTTTGTTCCATGAGGGTAATGTGTAACATAAATAGTAAATAAGAATGCGCTTGGCCTTCACGTAGGTTGTACTACACTGGTTGTACTACGGCGTGTTTGAACAGCTGACAGCTGTGTGTGTGTCCGTGAGCACGGCCTGTCGCGGCGCGTGCGGCAGTAGGCTAAAAGAAGCAATGTTAAAAGTCAGACCGTTGGCAGGAATCACGACCATTCTGCGACCATTCATAATATCAGGATGCCCTCGAAATGACAAATGGTTAAGTTTTCTGAACAATGTGATTGCAATTATATCACAGGAAAAAAATGTAAAGCGAGAAAGGAAATGTAACCGTTACTTTTGTGAACTCGCGTGTTGTAACTAGGCGTTTTGTCCGTTTTGTCCGTTTTGTGTATGATTCATTCCAAATTTGCCGTTGAATGTAAGTGGATACTGTAAAAAAATACAAGGTAAATGAACGAAATAAATTTCAGCATTTCATTATATGCAATTCACAAAAGAAGCTATACATTGCTACACGACGCGTATTTTTTGTGACCCTGTGAGAAATGTTTTTGACGATACCGTTTTCACTTCGGTTTTAATGTTGTTGTTGACACGAAATAAGTGGCCTCAAATAATCAGCAGCTTCGACATCCGATGTCGTTCTGACTTGTTGAAAAGCCGTCCATTTCAGGCCTACTTTCTCACAATTATTCTCAATATGGGAAACTCAAGACAAACCAATTTTTGCCTGTATTTTTTTGATAAAGTTTCATTGAACCACCGTTATTTTAAGTATAGGAATTAAATAAATAATTTTCATATGAAATAAGTATCTTCCCGTTAAACTAATAGGAATATTTTCCCCTGTGGACGGAGAGGATGCCATGATTTTACGGTGCCTCATTTCTCGACGAATCGTACATACAAATAATCATTTTTTTAAACAAAATGTTCAAATGTGTCGTTTTTTTATATCACAGCTAATAGAGACATTGTTTTTTTCCTGTTGCAGGATGCAAACGGCCCTCCAGACGCACCCCCATCACTTGGCCTCAACGCCCTCATGGCCGTGTGCCGAGGACCTGCAGCACAAGGGTGAGCACACGTCCCAAGCGACCAGAGGTGACCAGCAGACAACCAATACCGACGACCAGCCATTTAACTAAGTCAATGATCATTGCTGATAAAATATTGTGCAGATTCAAAGTGGTCTTAAAAGAATGGGAAGACCTCATAGAAATAATTAAGATGCTCATACAGAAAGACTGCACCCGGAGGGCATATTTTTGATTTTTCAATGCTCTTTCTGGAGTTCAAAAAGGTTGTGTTTGTTTTGAGAAAATTATGCTTGAAACAAGTACAATTTTCTCAAAACAAGTATACCATGACGTTCTTAAGTACAGCTAGATCACTGAAAAATCAAGAACACCTTTCTGGGTGTGATGACGTATCCTTCATACAACAAAAATAATTCAAGGTGATAGGTTGGAAATAGGATTTGGCCGCTTTTGCTAACGGGGTATCACAGCCGCGTCCTCGGTGTCTCCATGGCGCCGCCCCCGTCGTGTGTTGTGCGAGTGCGTGTGTGTGTGTGTGCCATGTGCGTCGGGCAGTGACCAGTGTCCACGCTGCATCCCCTGTCACCCCTCGGACCCATTGCATCAGAGCCGATAACGGATTTATTGAAGTGAGTATCCGGGGGTACCTGGAGGTACCTGCGTGCTGGCCGGCAGTGCGCGCACATCGGTTGTCATCGCGGCAGGTGCCGAGCGGAAGGCGCGCCAAAGTTAAACGAGGGAAAGTACCATACTGCGATATCGTTACAAAAAACTAAAAACGCAGTGGTCATGACAATGCCGTACAATGCCTCGGGCAATTGGCAATAAGACCGAGCGAAGTTTTGAAACAACCAGAAGCAACGCAAGTCACAATTCAAACGTCTTATGTGTAAATTGTGTTTATCATAGCACTCACACTATTCGTTGGGAAGTAACAGCGGATATTTTTAAAGTCTGGCTTGCTCCAGTTCGCTATGAACAAGCAGTCGTGATAACCCTCTTTGAATTTGAAGTTATACATAGACCTATTGGAAGCACAGCAGGCTGCAGTGGAAAATATCATCGGCAAAATAATGTCTACTCATACCTCTAATTCGCAGTCCACCCGGACTTAAACCCATAACTTTTCAATAATAACTGCAGCATCCTAATGTCTTCCTGGAGACGAGCGATCTTCCTCAAAGAAGCTCGGAATAAAGCCCAAATGAACACGTCTTGCACGTGCGCCTGGGCGGGGCCGGCAGCAGTCACGTCATCATCAAAGGCAGTCGCCGGCACCCACCTTTCGGCACAAAAACGCGTGAAATTTGTGCGCCTCGGCCATGCGAGGGCTCCCGGCTGTCTGCGAGAGGCCAAGGCCTGGAGGCCAAGGCCAGGCCGGCGCGCCCCGCCCCGCACCGGGTTTAATTTATGATCAATGTCACACGGGAGTCTCGAGTGGCTCCTTGTAGTCTCGTGCGGCCGTGGGGCTGCTGAATAGTCTAGGGGCGTGGCCGGGCGGCCCGGGGCTGCAGGAGGACTCGGGCGGCACGCAGCAGCGACTCCTGCGCTCCGGTGTGCTGAGCGAGCGCTGCGCTGCGATACCGGGCGTCCTGGGGCGAGCCAACAAAGCGCGCGGCCTCCCCGTCGTCCGTGCAGCATCTCGTGGGAAAGCCGGCGACGGAGACAGTCAGCGCACAGAGAGAGACTTTTGTGTGTGAGAGAGAGACATTTTACTAACGAGACCACGGCGACAAACAGAGTTGTTGTATCCCGCTGTCCCGCTCGCCGTGTGTTCCCGCACAGGTTACTTGCTGCCACACTGGCATGACCGCGATCAAACTCTTGCCATTGTAACTATTAATTGTAGTTTGAATGTCAGTCACGCGAGTATATTGCTCGCCTTGCCGCGCCCGCGCGCTGAGCGCCGCGGAGATGACTTACTTCCACTCCGCCACGAATTATAAATATTGTAAGGCCACGTTTGAGGAAGCGCCCGACTCATCTCTGATGGACCGGCTGCTGCTGATGCCGGAACAAAACTGAGGCTGCCGCCGCTACGCTACGCTGCAGCAGCATTGTGAGGCGCCAGGCAGACAACGCGCGCGGTGGCAAGCGCAGAAGGGAGAGGCATTTTCAGGCGGATGCTGGGGACAAAGACACAAAATCTACTGGGCTGATTGGGGAGGGTGCGGAGGAGAAGGAGGAGGAGAGGAAGATGAGGTGAAGGAGGAGGTGAAGGAGGAGGCGGGGGCGGAGGAGGAGGGTGTTTGGGAATCATAAGGGGAGCAGCGGGGGCGCAAGTTTTGCAGCAGGCAGAGCCGGTAAAGGACAGACGACGTCGACGACGACTTCAAAGCGACGCGCCGATATGGTATTTCGCACAGCCGCGTGCACGCAGAAAGAGTTCGCCGTGTTTATATTTCCTGCTGCGACTCGCGCGCACAAAACAAAACATGAATAAAAATTTACGCGAGCGGCGTTTTTGTTCCATGAGGGTAATGTGTAACATAAATAGTAAATAAGAATGCGCTTGGCCTTCACGTAGGTTGTACTACACTGGTTGTACTACGGCGTGTTTGAACAGCTGACAGCTGTGTGTGTGTCCGTGAGCACAGCCCGTCGCGGCGCGTGCGGCAGTAGGCTAAAAGAAGCAATGTTAAAAGTCAGACCGTTGGCAGGAATCACGACCATTCTGCGACCATTCATAATATCAGGATGCCCTCGAAATGACAAATGGTTAAGTTTTCTGAACAATGTGATTGCAATTATATCACAGGAAAAAAATGTAAAGCGAGAAAGGAAATGTAACCGTTACTTTTGTGAACTCGCGTGTTGTAACTAGGCGTTTTGTCCGTTTTGTCCGTTTTGTGTATGATTCATTCCAAATTTGCCGTTGAATGTAAGTGGATACTGTAAAAAAATACAAGGTAAATGAACGAAATAAATTTCAGCATTTCATCGTATGCAATTCACAAAAGATGCCATAAATTTCTACACGACGCATATTTGTTGTGACCCTGTAAAAATGTTTTTGACGATACCGTTTTCACTTCGGTTTTAATGTTGTTGTTGACACGAAATAAGTGGCCTCAAATAATCAGCAGCTTCGACATCCGATGTCGTTCTGACTTGTTGAAAAGCCGTCCATTTCAGGCCTACTTTCTCACAATTATTCTCAATATGGGAAACTCAAGACAAACCAATTTTTGCCTGTATTTTTTTGATAAAGTTTCATTGAACCACCGTTATTTTAAGTATAGGAATTAAATAAATAATTTTCATATGAAATAAGTATCTTCCCGTTAAACTAATAGGAATATTTTCCCCTGTGGACGGAGAGGATGCCATGATTTTACGGTGCCTCATTTCTCGACGAATCGTACATACAAATAATCATTTTTTTAAACAAAATGTTCAAATGTGTCGTTTTTTTATATCACAGCTAATAGAGACATTGTTTTTTTCCTGTTGCAGGATGCAAACGGCCCTCCAGACGCACCCCCATCACTTGGCCTCAACGCCCTCATGGCCGTGTGCCGAGGACCTGCAGCACAAGGGTGAGCACACGTCCCAAGCGACCAGAGGTGACCAGCAGACAACCAATACCGACGACCAGCCATTTAACTAAGTCAATGATCATTGCTGATAAAATATTGTGCAGATTCAAAGTGGTCTTAAAAGAATGGGAAGACCTCATAGAAATAATTAAGATGCTCATACAGAAAGACTGCACCCGGAGGGCATATTTTTGATTTTTCAATGCTCTTTCTGGAGTTCAAAAAGGTTGTGTTTGTTTTGAGAAAATTATGCTTGAAACAAGTACAATTTTCTCAAAACAAGTATACCATGACGTTCTTAAGTACAGCTAGATCACTGAAAAATCAAGAACACCTTTCTGGGTGTGATGACGTATCCTTCATACAACAAAAATAATTCAAGGTGATAGGTTGGAAATAGGATTTGCCCGCTTTTGCTAACGGGGTATCACAGCCGCGTCCTCGGTGTCTCCATGGCGCCGCCCCCCGCCGCACCCCGAGCTCCCATGCGCCGCTAGAGCCATAAAGTGACATAATAAACCGTGGCGTGGCGTGGCGTGGCCGGCGCGGAGGAGACGGGCAGCGGGGCGGAGGTGGACGCCGCGACCAGGAGGTGAAATACAATTTGACAAATTGGGCGACGCAAAACTTGGCCGATAACGAATCAATAACCCGTGACATGGGTGTGGTTGGTCGAGGCCAGGGTCCCCTATCGGTCTCCTAGGGTCTCCGCCGGGGGCAGCAGAGCCGGCCTGGGGGAAAGGGGGTGTGGGAGCGGGCAAAGGGGGGGGGGGCTCTGCCGGGGGCGTTAGTGGGCAAAAGAAGGAGAAATGCGCGTACATGAGAAACTACAATAACTCACCGGCCAGGAAAAGTTTAAAATTATGATGGCAGTAAAGTGAATCAAGCAGAGGGGACGATAAAATACTACGTCGGCCAAGAAAAGAATTCCTGCAGGAGAGTGGATGGGAGAGGCGAGGGCGACGCGCCGCCCTCCGCGCTGCGCCCCCCTCGCCAGCCAGCCTGGTTGGCCAGGAAGAAGAAGTGAGAGAATGGATGGAGAGGGTGACTGCTATTGTGTCCTCAAGAGACTGTCGCGCGCCCCTCGGCTCCCCGCCACACCCCGCCAGCGGAGCCAGAGGCCGCTCTCTGCCGGCAGAGGTTTATTTCCCTAACGCTCATGTTCACTAAGAACGGGGATGGGAGGGAGACGGAAGAATCGAGCAAAAATTCTAAGAGAGTGAGAGCGACGCTTTTAAAGGTCGATATGAAAGCGCGGCGGAGGCGGAGATGGTCGATGCGTGGGATAAAACAGACATAACAAGCGCATAACGAGAGCCTGATGTCCAGTTTCATGCAGCTCTGTAGCGCGCCGCCATCTCCACATCACTCACTCGGAGGTCGTTTAGGGCAGGACCGCACGACGGTCGCAAACACCCGAAGGGGTTGGGGGAGGG